ATAATTGGAAAAACGAGCACCATGGAAATACATACCACTCAGCCAAAGAAAGATGATGGAGAGTTGACCGAAATGGGCACTAAATACTTTGCGAGAGATCTCCTCCAAATCACTGGTATGGCTATCAAAATCGTGAGCATCAGCGTGTAGGTTCCAGATCCAAGTGGTAGTATCAGGTCCCTTAGCTATTGTTCTTGAGAAATGACCCGGTCTGGCCCATTCCTCGAAAGAAGTTTTTACGGGATCCCTATCTACCAAAATTTTAACTTCTGGTTCCGGCGAACGAATAATCATTGAGTCCTCCTCTTTCCGGACAACACATACAAAGAGACCCGCCAATAAATAGTTAAGTAATTAGTGAACCTATGAGAGATGTTTAGACTTAGTTTTTTTCTCTTCCATCTCCCATCTATCTATTTTCTTTAGTTATTCACTAGAGCAATTATGATCTGGAAGTTGATCCGGGGCAAGTGTTCGGATCTATTATGACATAGCCGTGAGGCGCTTAACGGACCCTTTTAATCTTATAAAACCCTTTTCTGGGCTTTGAATTGAAGCAAAAACAATTTGTTTGTGCAACCCAGCGTATTCATATCTCAATTATAAGTTTCTAAACGGAACCACTTTATACTTTATGTCTTACATAGAACATATTACGCTATTCCGTACTCTATTCCAAATTTCACAAGAAGTCATTACTAAGAGACATCTCAGTATTTAGTCATTCGAAGGTCTCTTTTATTAGTTTTAATAGCAGAAAAAATGTATTCTCTATATATCGTTTATTCCTACGAAATACCAGACGAAATAGAATTATTTTAGAAGGGATATAATGAAATTCTTTGATTGGTTCTTCCCAGAGAAATGCTCCGTTTTAGTTATTTGATCAATAGGGACAACAAATAATTAATTTTATAATTAATTATTATAATTAATTATAACAAATATAAAAAATATATAAAACGAAATATCTAAATTATAAATTAAATAATAATAGGTGCGGACAACTCAAAATAGTGGAGTTTATTTACTTGCACATACTATGCAAGTTGCTAGTGCCAAGGATAAAAACTCAATTCTCTCAAATATGGGTTTCTATGGTGTCATTCAAGAAATTTGGGACCTTGACTACCAAGAGTTTACAATCCCAGTCTTTAGGTGTGATTGGATTGATAATACTTCTGGTCTTGTAGTGGACGAACTTGGATTTATCCTTGTAGATTTGAGTAAAATTGGACATAGGAATGACCAATTTGTTTTGGCTTCTCAAGTCAAACAAGTATTTTTTGTTGACGACCCGATGCATCGTGGTTGGTCGGTAGTGTTATCAATGCCTAATAGAGAATATAATGATGTTATTGGTGATGATGTCTTAGGTGATGTGAGAATTGAGTGTGAGCCATTTACTAGGGGGATGCCAAATGTTGACACATTTGATGAAGTGGTGGTTGAGTTAGGGAGTCAAAATATTCGAGATGGGTGTGAAGATATATGGGTTGAATGATGCTTTTAATTGGCAGTGTATGACATTAATTTTGTAATATATTGTAATGTGATTTCTTCACTTTCATTATACAGGTTTTGGCCACAAAACAATCAGAACAAAAATTACTGGTTCCAGATTACAAAACACGACGGTTTTGATAAAAATGTAATAAAACGACGTCTGTTCTAATAAATAATGACGTTTTGGAGCATTCAACGACCGCAATATATTTACCGACGTCTTAAAGCAAAGTAACAATGAAGAACCACGACGCTATTGTGAAACAGTAATCCAGGATAACACGTCGGACAAGCATAAAGAACCGCCATGTAATTCAAAATAACACGACTCCAATCCCATAATACCGACGTCTAAAAGATGAGAATTTTAACCTGAACGTTACAAAAGACGACGTCGTCATGAATTTACCACGTCGTAAGTTCTTTAATAAACGAAGTGGAAAAGGATGAATTCACGACGGTATTTGAAGTCCATTAAATTCGTCGACGTTAAGATGAATTAGACGACGTTAATTTTTTTAATGAAGACGTATAAATTATTAAACACGACGGTCTTTTTCTTGGTACCGACGTTGTATATAGACGACAACGTCGTCCTTATAAATTACTGTGTCGTAATTAATGACCCCATCATTTTTTCCACGTCGTTTATTTTCAAAATATGACGTATAAATTCTGTAATACGGCTCTCATTTATTTGGAACCGACGTTGTTTATTCATTTCAACGTCGTCTAAGTAAATACATACGTCGTAATTAATGAACCTGACATCTATTTCCACGTCATAATTCATAAAAAATCGAAGTGGAAAATTTATTTTACGACGGTTGTGGGAAATGTTGTGACGTAGTAGGTGTCAATAACGTCGTCTATTATGATTGTAAAGACGTCGTATTTATATTTGTCATCTGTTTCCTTTTTAACGACGTTTTTTTTGTTGGAGTTGGTCGTCTATTCTCATCCTCGACTGTTTTTTATGTCTTTTTGCAGCACAAAGACGTCGGTTTTTATTTTTTGATGACGTTTTTTGTTTTAACAACGACGGTTATTCACCGTCGTGGTTTGGTTATGGAAAAGATGTCGGTGGATTCCACGATGATTTGAAAACAGAATACACGACGGTGAATTCCCGTCGTGGTTTTCCTTTTTTGTAGTAGTGGGAAGACCTTTTACTCAAATTATTTCTTTTTGATAGGAATCGATGAAAAAAATCCTAGGGCAATTCATGAATTTGGAATAAATTTATGGGTTAAGAAGTTGGAGTAAAGAGTTGTTGAAAAATCTAAAACTGGAAAGGAATTTTATAATTTTTATGAAAATTGAATAATAGTATAAATTAAATAGAATCATGGTTTAAATGTATCCATTAAACACAGTCTGAAAAAAATATCGATGATTGGATTGATTTCAATTGAGTGATTTAATCCGGTATAAATATTAGAAAGGGCGGAAACACCATCTTCGCAAACATGAATAGATATATATCCTTATTTTACATTTTTTTCCCTAAAAGGATTTATCTTTATCCCCAACCTCGGAGGAAGGATTTTTCTTTGATGAAAAGTTTTCTATTTTTAGGGTTAAAATTGAATGTACATACCTATCCAAAATAATATGAATGACTTAATATTCACTCGGTTTTTGGGCCACAATCATTATCTAGGAGAGATGGCCGAGTGGTTCAAGCGTAGCATTGGAAAAAAGTATGAAATAAATATGAAACCTACCATAAAAAATTAATATTTTTTTAGTAATTTCAGGTAGAAATATCTATTTTGTACATTTTAATTTTAACTAGGGACTCCGCCTACAAATACAGGCGGTCAATCATTAACTAGATATACACATCTGGTCATACATTTATTACCATTATGTATTATAAATTACAATAAAATTACAGTAACGAATAAAGAAAGATGAGTTTTTAAAATGCGAGATCTAAAAAACATATCTCTCTGTGGCACCAGTAGTAAGTGCTTTATGGTTTGGGACTTTGATAGGTTTATCGATAGAGATCAATCGTTTTTTTTGGGATGCATTGATATTCCCCTTTTTTTCATTTTAGTTATTACTATGAGAAGGGGGAAGAAGATTAGAGATACAATCAAATATCTGTAACTAATCCCTACCCTAGCCTTCTTTTTTTCTTTTTCTTTTTCTTTTTTTAGAATAACTTATTCTAAATTTAAAAAAAAAACAAAGGAAAAGCGGTTTCGCCCTCAGTGAAACTATGAACTCGGCCCAGGCTCAAATTAAATTAATATTAATAATAGAGTGGAAATGAAAATGTGATGGTTGGGGCAAAAAAACAAAGAAAAAAAGAAGGCAATGATAGGGATTAGTTACAGAGATTTGATTGTATCTCTAATCTTCTTCCCCCTTCTCATATCAATAACTAAAATGAAAAAAAGGGGAATATCAACGCATCCTGAAAAAAATGATTGATCTCTATCAATAAACCTGGCAAAGGCCCAACCATAAAGCAACTGGTGCCACGGAGAGATGTTTTTAGATCCCGCATTTTAATATTAACGATAATGAGAAGTGATGTGTTATTAGTGGCTAATTAGAGTCATTATCTAAGTTATCAATTAACTACCATGACAATTATGTGCCAAATATTACTTTCAAGTTACACGTATTTCTCTTGTTTTGAGATAAAACGAACGTTACGAAGGAAAGTTTATTAATTTGAAACAAAATCTATGATTAGAGAGATGAACTTGACCCAAATCAATAATATCCCCTAAAAATATGTTCTTACAAGGTAAGAACAATTTATTTAAAATCAATCACCTGATCATACATACATTAAAAAAATTGCAGAAGCAACTTGGGACAGATTTAGTATTGTGGTTAATCCAATTGCAGGGTATGTTGGTATAAGGTGAAGTAGTTGCTATCAAGAGACTTTCGAAGAACTCTGGACAGGGAACGGAAGAATTCAAAAACGAAGTGAACTTAATCGCAAGGCTTCAGCACCGAAATCTTGTCCGACTGCTTGGTTGCTGCATTGATATGGATGAAAAGATGCTGATTTATGAATACATGGAGAACAAAAGCCTGGATTCTGTTTTGTTCAGTGAGTACCTTAGTCAACTACATTTTAGTTTCATAACCAAGCTTGAGATGGAACTCAAAAAAGTTGATGATAACTGTTGCAGGTCAAGCAAAAAGGTCTATGCTGGATTGGCAAAAGTGTTTCGAGATTATTTGTGGGATTGCTCGAGGACTTCTTTTTCTTCATTAGGATTCTAGATTTAGAATTATTCATCGGGATCTCAAGGCAAACAATAATTTGCTTGATGGAGAATGGACCCCGAAGATTTCAGACTTTGGAATGGCTAGAATATTTGGTAAGGATCAGACAGAAGCCAATACCAGAAGAGTTGTGGGAACATTGTAAGTACCAATGCCCTGCATATACAATAAGCTTTCTATTTTTTCTGACCATACGTGCTGATTTCACTTTATTGGCAATCTGCAGTGGATATATGTCTCCTGAATATTTCATGGACGGGCTCTTCTTGATCAAGTCTGATGTCTTTAGTTTTGGTGTTCTAGTGTTGGAGATCATTAGTGGTAAAAAGAACAGGGGATTTTATTATTCAAATAATGAGCTAAACCTCCTAGGACATGTAACTAAAAAAGGCACAATCTGGAATTTTTTTTTTTTTTTTAAAAAAAAAAATTTCATTTCATTTCATGCCTATGCATCATTAGATTCACTGCTAACAGAAAAAATGACTTGGAACTTTTGCAGGCTTAGAAGCTGTGGACAGAAGGAACAGGGTCGGAAATAATTGATCCCTCCGTTAGGGATTCGTATTTCCCCTCAGAGGTGTTCAGATGCATGCAAGTTGGACTTTTATGCGTCCAAGAGCATGCGGAAGATAGGCCTACAATGTCGTCTGTTTTTTAAAGGTTGAGTAGTGAAACTGCAACAATGCCTCAGCCTAAAAACCCTGGTTTTTGCCTAGAAAGGAATAAAAATCCAGTTGAGACAGATTCTTCCTCTAGCAAGCAAGACCAATCCTGCACTGTAAGCCACGTAACAGTCACAATGATAGATGGTAGGTATGTAGTCAAATAATTGCTAGCTTGAATTGTTACCAAATCAACCCAAAACAATAAAAACCTCCATTTGGATGGTAGTGAAATAATATTGGGTGGCAAGGGGCTAGTAACTTAAGTGGTTAATTGATTTACGATTCAAGTCATTTAGCTCATGTGATCGATGTTTTGGACTCCAAAAATGTAATTAGTAAGCCTTGCAATGCAAGTCCATTCACAACATAATTTCCATTGTCTGTTACAAAAAATGCTCACCACTTTCACCAAAATTCCTAAATTTTGCAAGACAACAAAATCCGCTTGCTCAAACAAGTTTTGAAGCCTTTTGGCCGTGAATTCCCAACAAATTGGTACAATTCTAACAAAATCCCCATGTGGTTAGAGAGTGAAACTGCAGAGTGATTTTCCTGGTTTAGCAGCTACGCCGCGTGCCTCCTCTGTTCTGGTAATTGACTACAATATTGTTCTTTTTGTTTGTTTGTTTGTTTTTTTTTTCTAGTTAATATCAAGATATCTGATGGGGATCGGAATCCGAACACAGGTTACCAACCACATACATGAGCACCGAAATTTAGAGCTAGTGCAAACTCACATATATCGTAGCAAATTCATGCCACAAATAAACTATTTCATTAATCATCAACAAAAAACCTCCCTACAACTATTACATTAGCTTTATTTATAGGCTTTACAAGACTTAGGCACCAAGGCTATTTGGTCCAAAAGTAAACTAATTAATTATAAAATCACACATAAATAATAAAAGATATCCTAACACTACTTAAATAAGAAAATAACAATATATCATGAAATAACTAATTAAATGGTAAATATCTATCTTGATCCACCCCAATGCTCCTGCATCAGACTCTCTTAGTTGGAAAGAATTCATCCTCGAATTCAAATCTTTGATTGAGGAAAATCGGAATAGAATCTTCAATTCCTTTCCAAATAAAAAGATATTTGGAATATTTAGTTATTCTTGGCTTCTTCTTACTCCCTCTAACAATGCAAATGTTTCTCTCTAGAATCTTCAACCGATTGACAAATCAACCAGATTTTTGGCAACTTTTCAAGTGGAAATATTAATACCCATAAAATCAATAATATCTTTGAAAGTTTTCTCAATTCTCATATCTTCACTGTTCTGGTCAATAAATTGCTTATCAAAACTGCTCTAAACATCCAAACAATTTTCATTGCAATTTTTACAGTTGCAAGGATCAAATATTGAAGGTAAATCCAAATTTAATAACTTTGATGAATAACAAAATGCTCCAAAATTACCAAATTCATTTATACCTTCAAAGATACAATTAGAATAATTGTGCCCCTCTTCACTTGACTCACACAGCGGAGCACAATAATGAAAAGGGCTATCTCCCTCGTACTCCCCATCGAGATTCTCACATCTTAGAGTGTCGATGCGAGCTACTCGGTTCAGATAAGGGTTCACACATCCCTCCCCGTCAGAACTCTTACCTATCTGGGTTCGAGCTTCAATGCGAGCGATGTGTTCCATAAGTTGCCGTAGCATCCTCCTAATTTTCTCCATGTCGTTGTAGTTGTTAACAAGACCCTCCATTCAAAAACCTCCCCGAGAATGCAGATCTAGAGCCATAGCTCTGATACCAATTGATGGGGTTTGAGGTCCAGACACAAGTCACCAACCATGTATACGAGTACTGAAATCTAGGGTTAGTGCAAACTCACATATATCATAGCAAATTCATGCCACAAATAAACTATTTCATTAATCATCAACATAAAACCTCCCCACAACTATTATATTAGCCTTATTCATATGCTTTACAAGACTTAGGCACCAAGGCTACTTGGTCCAAAATTAAATTAATTAATTATAAAATCACACATAAATAATAAAAGATATCCTAAAACTGCCTAAATAAGAAAATACCAATATATCATGAAATAACTTATTAAATGGTAAATATCTATCTTGATCCACCCCTATGCTCATGCATCAGACTTCTCTAGTTGGAAAGAATTCGTCCTCGAATTCAAACCTTTGATTGAGGAAAATCCGAATAGAATTTTCAATTGCTTCATATTAATTACGGATCTTTTAGCATCTAATTGAAACCTTCCTTTCCAAATAAAAAGATATTTGGAATATTTCGTTATTCTTGGCTTCTTCTTACACCCTTTAACAATGCAAATGTTTCTCTCTAGAATCTTCATCCGATTGACAAATTCAACCAAATTTTTGGCAACCTTCCATGTGAAAATATTAATGCCCATAAAATCAATAATATCTTCGAAAGTTTTCTCAATTCTCATCTCTTCACAGTCCTGGTCAATAAATTGCAATTTCCCTCAATTGGGGGATTGTTTAACTAGACCACATGGAAGAATCCTCAATTGACTATGTGGCTGGGGAACGAGCAGTATAATCGGGGGACTGGGCTTACCAGCACGCACATCAGAATCCTCAATACTCATGCGCTTGTGACAAGTCCTACACCAGCAGACTACCCTGCTAATAGTCTACGAAACACCCTATCAAGGGTGCCGGGGTTTCGACATATCCATGTATCCAATATTTCCAAGTATCCAATCCAAGTGTCCAAGTGCCAGGGAGGTACATAGGGTAGTGCTAAAAGCACTCCAAACTAACATAAAACACAACCCAAATCCCATTCCATTACCTCTTTCCAACAATCCCATGTACCCAGCACATATCCCTAGACAATCAGACATCAATTGTGTCCAAAACACAAATCCCAAAATATACATATTCAAAATATAGTAATAGCTCTCAAGATAACAATAATTCAACCCCCAAAATAATCGCAACCCTCAAGTATTCCAAGACATACCAATGATTCTATATATGCATAGCTTTCCACCTTTGAAAAGTAATGATTATTTAAAATAAAGTCCACTCACAGAAAGTCCGAAGCTGCGTGACCCTGAGAGGGTCCTGCTTGTTGAGTACGCTGAGCCTGAGTACCTATTGAAGAATACGAGGACTAAATTAAAATAAAGCACTTCGAATGAGAACTTTAAAATAAATTCCCAATTTTCCCTGGACTTAAGTGTATGTACGATGAACAGGGAGTTTATAAGGTCCAACTACGAGTTTCGAAAGGTCGAATAACGTCGGAAGACACTCGGTCAATCGAGTGGTCAAACTTCCCGCACTTGGTCAACTGGGCCCGTGAGGCCATGTCCTCCAATTTCTTATCCGAAAGTTCCTACGCGTTCAACGAAGTCTACTAAACACTTGGTCCAGATCGAGCGGTTGGATCGCTCTCAATCACACGATCGGACAGTTACTGTTTTACGTAATCTTTGAATCATTGATTCGGAGTATGCATGACTCCAATTATCGATCAATGAGTTCCTACACGATCCTGGAGGTACGGAGAACAACATACTTGAAAATGGAGCCGATCCAATGGTCTGAACATATCGAACCCGGATATCACTTAATATGCGTAAATTTGTTCAACTGTCAAAGGATAACCAAATTCAAATTCGAGCATACCATCATGCTCGGGACAATATGGGGAACATTTTAGAACCCAATAGGCCCCCACCCCATGGCCCACGCACCGCCACACATGTCGGCAGTCATAGGTGGCTTGTGAAAACTCTGGTGACTAGAAAATTCTCAAAACAACCAACAATACCTATACCTATGTCACCATGACAACTAGAGGAGCAACTTTAGTTCTTGGGCCACAACCAAAAAGTGGTCAGAGATTGTCGGAAAATCAAGCCAAAAACGGGTCAAAACTTAGGTTATAGATTGAGCTTCAAAACTTCGAAAATCGATCCTAACCAACCCAACCATCAGCTAGATCACATCGAGAGCGTGAGAAAACATACATGGATTGACAAATTTCATCGCCAGAGTCGTCGAAAACGACACAGAAAAATTAGAGAGAAAACCAGCCTGTTTTTGAGCTACAGCCGGTCATAGGAGGTGGTGGTTAAGGCAGAGAAGGGGTGGAATTGGAAGAGAGGGCCAGGCCAGTTCCAATGGAGGTGGTTTCACAGCCAACGAGGGCTGGACAAAGAAGTTATTGCTAGTCAAAGAACCGATGGGGGTTCTGTCGGGGGGTGGGGGGGGGGGGAGGTGAGAGAGAGAGAGAGAGAGAAGCTGCGCTTGGTTCTTTAAAAAAAAATCTGACTTTGAAATATTTACGGTTGTGCCACTGCGCTTCCGTTGACCATAACTTCTTCGTCAAAAGTCCGATTTGAGCCCACTACGTGTCTATGAACTCGTATCGACGAGCTCTACGCAACAGTGTCATTCATTTCCTCAAATCCACCTGATTAAAAAGTAGCCAAAATGACCCTACCCCAAGGGCAAAATTGTAATTTATAATTAAATAATTTAAATAAATTAAATAAATGGTTAAAATAAGGTCGGGGTCTCACAACCTACTCCCCGTAAAGAAAATTCCATCCTCGAAATTTTGTACCTATCATTCGAAGAGTGAGGGGTACTTGGCCTGCATCTGCTCCTCGGGTTCTCAAGTGGCTTCCTGAATAGTTACTTGTCCACAACCCCTTCACTACCGAATTGTTCTAGAGCGCAAAACTTGCTCCTTTCTATCTAGAATTTGCAGCGATTGTTCCTCATAAGTCAGGTCTTCTCTCAACTCCATGGGTTGATGTTCCAGGACATGGGAAGGATCAGGTTTGTACTTCCATAGCATAGATACATGAAACACATCATGAATTCGAGATAGTTCTAGAGGTAAAACAAGTATGTAGGGAACGGGTCCGATGCGTTCTGTGATCTCATAAGGTCCGATATAACGGGAACTTAATTTCCCACGTTTCCCCAAACCTTATCACACCTTTCCAAAGAGA